GGGTTGAGGATGACAAGTGTGACAAAATGAAGATTGAGGATGAAAATGTCTTATGTCAAAAAGATTGGTGACTGACACGAGAAGATACCCAGTATATAAAGCAGCGATGTGGCTACATCTTCTTCGTCAATTTTACGATCAGAAATTCTTTTTCGCTCTGAAAAATCCGGAGATTCCCCGCCATTTTAAGCTTTGGAACTACTTCGGCCATGGATAAAGAAGCCGGTCCTTCCACAACCCGAACCCAAAGGTTCCTCTCTCTTCGCCCTTCTCTTATTATGGTTGTTTGGCTTCCAATTTACTACTAGTTGTTTGGATGCTGAGAAAATGTGGGAAATGAAGAAAAAGATCTGAAATTTCGGTTTTGCGTTTTTAGGGATGAAAATGTTCAGTGCTAGTTGCTTGGCTTTCATTTCATTTGGTCACCACTTATCTATATATATATAAATAAATATATATATATATATTTAAAAAAACCTTTCCTTTATGTTACTTCTACATGCATTTCTGCAAATCCGATCCTATTTTCTCTCTCTTAAAGAGTTCTGTTTTCCAAGGTTTTAGAAATAATTTTTAGATTATTTCCTGAAGCTATTTTTAGATTCTTTACTATTTTGTTAATGAGAATCTATTGCTTTCTCTCTCTCTCTTGACCAGTAGAATCTATTGCTTGCTGAGTAGCTAAAAACCTAGCTTTTAATTGTTGAGCTCATCTGCTTATTTTGGTTTGTGGGTTTACAGTACTAGTCAATGATGTGCTATTTGTGCTAGTTTGGCCCCAATTCTTTTTGGGAAAGTATGGTGGGAAAGTTCATAATATAATGAAGTTGGTAATGTTAGCAAGTAGTCCTTAACTTCTTATGGGAGAAAGTTGGGGGAAAAACTTTTTCAAGTGAAAGAAAATGTTACTCGTGGGGGCAATTGTGTAAGGGGTAAAATGGGGCTAAAATGCTAATTTTATCTTTTGTGTGTTATAATACTGAAGTGTGTAGGGACTAAATTGCTCCTGAACTTTCCTGAGGAAAATCTCCCTTAAATAAATTTCTTTCTTTGGGAAAGTTCTGCCTTTGCAATCAGCTAAGCTGTTTGATCTTGCTTGTATCATGCTATATTACACATGACCCTTTAGCGAATTCTGGCTGAGGGATGACATAATTGGTAGCAGAAGATTTCAATTATGGTTGGTTTAGAGTTCCCTCTCTCCCTAGATATCAGCGGGAAAAATAATAAATGACTCTGCATGTTGCAATTGAATGTATTTTCCCATGCATTAGCCATTTGTGGTTTGTGTAATTTTAAAAGACATAGTAACAGTTGCTGAACTGAATGAGAAACTCTAATAAAAGAGAAGACATTTCATGGGAGTTGATATATAGTTCTTACCTTCTTATGTCTGCTTCTAAGTGCAAGGATATGCGGGATGGGAATCCCAAACCTTCCCTTTTGTTATTGTTATTTTTTTTTCTAGATCCAGAATTCCATGTTCAAGAAGTGAGCATCTTAGTTCCTTTTTATTCTCTGAGCCTCACCTATCACAAGGCTTTTAGACTAGATACACAATGTTCTTTTTTTTTTTTTCTTAACTTGTGGAACTTCCTTGCTTAAGAATTGATTGATAGAATTAATGAGGTGTACAATTATTTATGTCAAGATCAATGATAAGCTAAGGCATTTTCTGTTATTCTTGCTAATAATAAGTTGGCTTTCCATGGAATTTAGGAAACCTTATATTCTGTTCTTTCATAGGCACAAATGCTCTGGATGCTACAAGCAATTCAAGAGAAAGGAGCATCTTATTGAGCACATGAAAATCTCATATCATTCATTTCATCAACCTAGATGCCTTGTTTGTCAAAAACATTGCCAATCTTTTGAATCAGTACGCGAACATCTTCGTGGTAATGTAATATTGTAAATTGTTTTACTTCCCAATCAATCATTTGCCATACTCATTTTCTCTCTTTTTTTGATTTAGGTTTATTTGGTAAAAGTAGTTGTTCGGAGATTTTCTCTGACCGAGGTTGTAATCTATGTTTAAAAGTTTTTGATAGTGCCAATGCCCTTAATGAGCATCAAGAAATGTGTCTCCGATCTGCTCCTGTTCCTCTTGTAAGTTGCTTAGAAAAATATTTTAGGTATAATTATCTGATAGGATTTCAGTATAATGGTTTTTTTTATTCTTTTCTTTTCTTTTTTTGACTTCCAATTGCAGAATGTCAAATTAAAAGTTCTTCCACATATTCCTAAACTTTGTGTTAATTGTTGTAGGGAGCAAAGATCATGCCTTCTATAGAATCTCATCCTAATATTTCAGGTGTGATTGGTGAAACTTCCAATGGTAAAGGTCAGAGAGCAGTTGCCATGGACTGTGAAATGGTTGGTGGTGGACTTGATGGATCACTTGACATTTGTGCACGTGTGTGCCTTGTTGATGAAGATGAGAATCTAATTTTCCATGCATATGTTAAACCACAAATGCCTGTCACTAATTACAGGTACTTCTGTGTTCTGTAGTATTTTTATTGATCAAATGATCTTGTCTATATCTTCTCATAAGTTTTCAGATATGAAGTAACAGGGTTAACAGAAGACCATCTAACAGATGCCATGCCCCTTGATGAAGTAAAAAATAAAATATCAGAAGTTTTGTACAATGGAGAATCCATTGGTAGGGCAAGGCTAGATGGGGGAGATGCAAGGCTTCTTGTTGGTCATAGCTTACTGCATGATTTGGAGTGTTTGAGAATGAGCTATCCTGGTCATTTGCTGAGGTTGGTTGTTTCCTTTACGGTACTAGTAAAGCATCAAGCCCCTTATTTTATCTTGAGAAATAAATATGATGAAAATGTTGTTCCTAATTTTGAGCAAAGCCTAAAATCATGCCATTCCTGTGGTCCTTGGCTAATCTGGTGGAGTCTTACCTAGGTGAAACACGAGTGAGAAATTAACATCTCCCTTGAGATGAAGTCGAACCTTATAAAATTCAAGCTTTACTGTTGCATAGAAATATGCCTCTCTGTCTTGTCTTCTTTCTTACACTGAGCTTTTCTCTGTACAGGGACACTGCAAAATATCGTCCTTTAATGAAAACTAATCTGGTTAGCCACTCGCTTAAGTACCTCACCAAAACGTACTTGGGGCAAGTTCCATCATGCACTTTGCATTAAAGCATCATTTCTTTCTTGTGTAATTTGCTATTCTTTTCCTTTCACATTACCACCCAACTTGTCTTTTATTTTCCCTAATGATCATAAGAAATTTGATTCACAGGTATGTTATCCAGTCAGGCGTGCATGATCCTTATGAAGATTGTGTCTCTGTGATGAGACTATACAAGAGAATGCGTGCCCAAGATCACCAAATGAAAGGGGTTGTAAGTGTATATGCTGGCTGCGGCTTTGATTCTATAAAATCCAAAGAACTCGAGAAGATGACTCCCGACGAGCTGTATGCTGTCTCTATGTCAAACTATCAGTGTTGGTGTTTGGACTTAATCAAAGAATCCAGCATTTGCATTTGATTTTTCAATTAGCAATTGATTTCAATTGCTGCCCTGTTGTAACTCTTATCTTCATGGGACATGGAGCAACCATTTTAAGGGATGTCTGCAACTCCCTTTTCATCAGGATTGGAAGTTGAACACCATTTCTATGGTATAGTTGTTGAATTGGAAGAAAACTTTTGTTCAACTCTACTTATGGATCCTCTATGTATTCTTGTGACTTAGATCGAAAATATTCTTTTTATTTGTGTGAAAACATGAAAACTTGAACACACACTTAGCACATTAATTGAATAATGGTTAATTAGCACAAGTCTAACGGTTGTATTATGGTCCACTAATAAATAACTTCAGCATTATTTACATGTATCCTTTTTAAACGGTAATTTGCCTAAAAATGCTTTTATCTTAATTAATATTTTATATATTCTTAGATAGTTAAAAGAAAAAGTTACTATTATAGCATAGTTCAGCTCAACATCATACAAGCAAATAAGGGTTAAGTTTGGAAAAAAAAAAAAAAAAGAAAATCAAATTTCATATGGTAATTTGGATTGCATTGGACAGCAAAGAAAGGACTCATCCCATTGTCAATGGTGTATGTTGTTAGCCCCACAAGGAACTCACTAATCATATAGCTAATGTTTTGCACTTTGCATAGGATTCTCTTTAAAAATTATAGTTCAATTTAGGGGTAAACATTAATTAATTTAATGATAGAACCAACTAATCTAGACATTAATTGACTTTTTAGTTGAAGAAAGATGAGAATGAATTATCAAACTAGATTAGTGTTGGTTATATTAGCTTAGTTACTTATTTTTTGATTACTTATTTTTTGGTTTTTTTCTTTTTCTTTTTAATTTTAGTTTACACTGATTTTTTTTTTTTAACCTTTAAAGCAAATTAATCTAGTTCAAAAGTGCATTTTTAAGGAAAAAGGGGCTAAAAATTGGGGAAAAAAAAAAGGCCTTTTGAGTTTGGTTTTTTTGGTCATTAGGAGTTACTTTTTGGTTTTTGATTTTTAAACCTGTATATCAAAATCCATCGGTTTTTTTTTAAAAAAGCCATCCAAAAAATAACCAAACCACAAAAATTTAGTCAAAAACCAGCCAGCTGCTCGTCGGTTCACCGAATTTTGCTCACTCCTAGTCCGGTTTAAACATCATAAAAATTTGATTAAACCCCTAATTTGTTAGCTCAATTATTATATAAATCTTCAATTTGTCCCCTAAACAAAAAAATAATTCTTGATTTGATCTCTATTGTTTATTAATTTTATTATAAATTTATTTAAAAAAATAATTAATTGTATTTATTATTTAATAATAAAAAATTATTATTTAATAATAAAAAATTATTATTTAATAATCACGTATTATATTAATAATAAGATTCATAAATTATTTTTGTATAAAAAATCAACTTAAAGTTAAATTAATCAAATAGTAAGGACTATATTAGAAATTTTTTTAATTTAAAATTAAATTAAGAGTTGATACAATAATTAAGGGAAGTTTAACCTAAAAATTTAGGTTGATTACATTTTTTGATTTCTCTCAGGTTAAGACTTAAGAGCCTCCAGAATTGACTTTTTGGTCAAAGCGAGTACAGTTCTTCCCAAAAAGCAAAAGAAAAGAGGCAATGGTTCTTTCTCCCTTGCATTCCCTCATGCTCTCTCTTCGCTGCAGCTGAAAGCTCTCCCGGCTCCAACGTGAGCTGACTATAGTCTGGTACAACTCCGGGAGGGCGCCGACAGCCGCAGCATGGCGGCGACCTTACAGGCGAGTCAGGTGTGGGAGTCGGTGTTGGAACAGACGAAGTGGGCGCAGGACAAGAACAGTGATCCTCTCCTATGGGCGATTCAACTCAGTTCTAGTCTCAACTCCGCCGGGGTCTCCTTGCCTTCCACGGACCTTGCTTACCTCCTTGTCTCCCACATCTGCTGGGACAACAACGTGCCCATCACGTGGAAGTTCCTCGAGAAAGCCTTGGCTGCCAAGATCGCTCCTTCC